CCCCGCCGGTCCGGCCCCGCCCCGACGCCGCTGACAAGAGGGCGCGCTGGCTGCCCTGGGCTGCGGGCGCCTTGGAGGCTCCTGGCGGAGGCGGCGGCGGCGAGCTGGCGGTCCTGGGCGAAGGCCGCTGCCTCGCGCGTGGCGGCGGGGCCCTCCAGGGCATCGGGGCGGCGGGAGCCGGCGGCAGGATGTACTCCGCCGGGGAGCTGCTGCGGGACAACGGCGGCGGCGGGGAGCCCGACGAGGACGCGGCGGCGGAGGCGGCGGAGGCGGCGGGCGGGCGGGAGCAGGTGAGCGGTCCGCGCGGCCCTAGCGCCGCCAGCGGGCCGAGTCGGGCTCCGCAGGGCACAGGTGCGGGCGCAGCTGCTTCATCTGAGAAGTGAAAAAGCAGGAGGATAGCTTTCAGCCGGAAGCAGAGGGAAAGACGTCTCAACGGCCAGATAGGGGAAAGTCGGGTTTTACGCTCTCTGGGTTGATCTCACTAACTGGACTGCGAGGATGGTGTGACCAGGTATCTCCAAGGCGGCCAGCTGCGTGATAGAAAGCGTGAGTTGCACGCGCGCCGCATTCTCACCGGCAGGTACAGTGATGCGCCTGTCAGTAACAGACCGACCTTCAGAGCCGCAGTGAGCAGCGGGGGTTAAATGACTTCGCCTCTTCGCGCCCCTCCTAGGGGGACAACCAGTGCCTGTCGCTTTGTCCCTCTCCATCTGTGCCTTTGTCACATTTCACAAACTCCAGGATCGTCGCTACATGTACACTATAATTTCTATTCCTTCGGTGTGTTACTTAGGAAACAGAAATGACAGGGTGTAATGCGCAAAATGTGCCTAGCAGTTCTGCTCGTCGTATGTAATATAATTGTTCATCTGCGTGGCAGGGTAAGACACGGGGACTGAGGCAGATACTTGGCGGCTAGAGATCTTCCTGATTCCCTTCCTGGTGGGTTTCCCCACTAACTGTGCCATGCATGACTCAGTAGATGAAGGTCTTGGTTTCCTCTTATCTTAGTTGCTTAACTGGAAAAGTAAAGAAAACAGCTGCAAGAGCTCCCTTGGGGGCTGGGGTGCATTTGAACCTAAATTTCCAAAATAAATTTTCAAATGGCTGTCAGGGAGGATATAAAATACCTCCTTTAAGATTCTGTGGACTTCAGCAATATGAGGATATGGACCTCATCTGTAAGTATGATCTTACCAAAATTGTTACAGTACAGTGAGAAAGGATGAAGAAAATGAAACGAATACCTAGAATCTAGGGCATAGGTACAGATAGCCCTTGACATACCTGCTTCTTCATGTCACTGTAGCTCATGAAATTTCATTTTCCTGTACTCCCTTGAAAGTGTTATTTTTATCATGTTTTACCTCATGAATTCTTTAAGCCTATGGACACAATAAAATCACACCTGAAATATGCATTTCCTTATTACATCAAAACCAAAACAGAACTTCTTAATCAAGAAGTGAAAAATAAAATTGGTGCAGCGCAACCCACTGATGTGAGAAGTGAGGTTTTGTGATAAAAGCCACTGTTTTCACATCCTACATTGAGAATGTTTTTGGGCACTGCCTTGTAATGATGGTAGAGATAATTCTACACATACAAAGATATTTGAGAGACCATGAAATGAAGCTCATGACTATAAAACATTCCAAGGAGTCATTCTGGTTTTTCCTTGAGATGTTTCCTTGTTATGTTGTTTGTTTTATTGGTTGATGTAAAGACTCAAGGACTCCTATTGCAAATAGAATATTTTCACATTGCTTCCTAAGCTGGTGGTTTAGAACTTACAGTGAACTTTCCATAAAAACAATGATGTACACAGAAACAGAACCAAAACTAATTAGCTGGAAATGAGGCAGAGGCGTCTTCCTGCTGCCCTGTCTGCTGTGTGCACTGCCTTCCCCTGGTGGCCTCATGGATGTGAGCAGGAAATTGGAGGCAGCAGGGCTCCTTGTCTTGTACCCTGGGCTGAGCAGTTCCAGAGGCACCTGGCCTGGGCTCCTCAGCTCTGTGTCAGCACTCATTGTTTGTATCGGATCCCTTTCTGTGTCTCTTTCCTTCACAGAATTTCCTTTTCTGACAATTGTATGATGTAAGTTTCTTTGCTGGGCCCCTCTACCCACAGCCTTCCCTTCTACCCTCCTGTCTGAAAGGCCCTCTCCCTTCCCGCAGCCTGGAAGGCGTTTGCACAAGCTTGCACTACACCAAACCTACCTTTGGCTCATCTTTATTATAATACTAGACCAAATTGTATCCATATTTTGGTATTTCTTTCATGTAATGTGGAAATACTGGCATTAATACAGGTGTTTCATTAATAGCTAATACATTGTTTGCATCCTTCCACAATTTGTTCTTGGCTGTTTCTCTATTTGAGTAGAATCTGAGTGAATTTCCTGTCCCTCTGGCCTGAGCCTTTCGGGGGATGATTGACTGAGGAGGTCTGGTTAAAGTCAAGCAGCCCTGGGGAAGAGTCCAGGAGAGAAGGAGCAGTGGGGTTGGAATAGGAGCCAGGCCTCCAGTACAGATAAGCCAGGGAAAGAGTGCTCTCCCAAGCTCTCCAGGGAATGAGGGCAGCACATGCCTATGCCGTGTGCATGCTACTAATTTCATGCATGACTTATGACCCACATATGTTCGTGCTGGGGAATGCCAGGGTGCCCCTGCTGCATAGCAGGGGGCTGAGGATCGCTGGGCTTTTCCTCTGTGTCTGTAAGGTCAATGGCATCTGCTCAGATGAGACACAGTATAGTGTCTCTAGATTGACTTTAGAATCATTAATTCTAGTTTTTTGCGAGATGCTGGGGGTTTTTTGTTAGTGTATCTGTTTGTTTGTTTGTTTGAGACAGGCCTTTCTATGTAGTCCAGGCAGGCTTTGAACTCCAGGCTAGCCTCAAACTCACAGTCCTCCTGCCTCGACCTCCTGAGTGGAGGGAGTACAGGCATATACCACCATTTAAGACCTCTCTTTATGATTATAAGAGTAATGTGTGTACTTTGGAAAATTATAGCGATATATCCACACTTGATATTGTTGTATCTCCATCTCTGTGTATTTACATATATTTGTACATATATGTTAGTGTTTTGATATAAATAGAATTTTACATCTTCTTTCATATACTTTGAGTTATTTTCCAACATTACAAAACTATTGTAAAGACTATTTTTAGGGTATTTAACAGTGCATGTTTAAAATGCCTCAAATTCTTTTATAAATAATGCTGTATGAAAAATCTTTCCTTATAAATCCTCATACTACTACAGTACCTTCAAATAGATTCCTACAAGGGGAAGAACTGGGTCAGTGAACACACTCTATGGAGCCTCTTGAGACACCCCAGAGCACTGAGCTCAGGGACAGTCGGCCCATGGTCGTGTCCAGTACTGGTGTGAGGGCCCCACCTGGAAACCAGCCAGCGACCTGTTTGTGCCATGCCCACATACCTTCTCCTTCTGGGTTGGCAAATGCCTGATAGTACTGTTGAAGAGATTCACTACACCATGTATTTACTGGGCATTTCTATTTCTTTTAATTATATTCTTTGACATTAGAAGGATATTAATCCCTTATTTCACATTCATTATAAATCTTTCCTGCTTTTACTTTACAATTTTACTTAGGATGTTTTTGATATAGAAATGCTTTAACTTTTTATTAGTGAAAGGTATTTCTTTTTTGGTAATTTTGAATGCCAACGTATACACACAAATATATTCATATATAAAGTAGTTTTAAATTCTTTCTCATCCTATAATCATTTAAATAGCCACCTGTATTTTCTTCATGTGTGTGCATGTATTTTGCACTCTGTATTGCTAATCTATGTTTGAAAGAGCTGTTGTCTGCCACGCCAGGGACTAAACCCATCTGCACCTGCCGTGCACCTCCCACTGCGCCCCCTCTCCCACTATGTTTACCTGCTCAGAACAACTTTCTGAGTTGTATGAGGTACGGAGCTAGGTTTTCTCCATCACTGCATTACGCACTTTCTCCTCCACTTTATACTCTTACAGTGGTAGAGTAGTGTGTGTGTGTACACACACATATATGCATATACACTTCATACATAAACCCTAAAATCTGCAGTAAGTTTTTATAGGAATTTTTACCACATGTTTTTTTCTTTTTGCTACTGGTTTCTAGCTACTGACTTTTATGAATTTTTAAGTGCTTAGTTTTAACTTTCTTTCTGAATTCTTTTATTCTAAAACTAATAAATACTAATCTTTCTTATACTTGATTCCTTTCCAGTCCACAGATGTGAATGACTTTGCTTCCTTTTAAATTATAGTGCCTTCTTTGCATTTGCATTTGTTGCCTTTTGCAGTGCCTGGAATTTTCCAAATAACAGTGCTGGCTCCAGATACTTAGGTAAATAAATGAAGGAAACTCCAGGTAGCAGTGTTTACCAAAGCCCTACATGAGACAATCTGTATAGAGAAGGAGAGGGTGTGCTGTGTGTGCTTTGTGAGCTATCATTAGAAATATGGTTAGATTCTAGACCAAGAGTGCCTCGGTCTGCACTTATTTACTGAACTTCAGGTGAGTTATTTAGCCCTCCTTTGGGCTTCTGTTTCTTCATTTGTATAATGGGAATCATAATTATATCAACCTCATAGGATTTGGGGGAGATCACATGAGTTAATGATGCATGAAAACATCTTAGAGACGTCCCTACACAGCAGGTGTGTAAGTGTTGGCTTTAGACCTAGTTTTCAGCTAAAGTGCTAACCTAAAAGAAATATTAAAGTACAGTTTTTCAGATTTCCAACCTCTGTAGTTAGAAAGGAACCCTTAGCTCAAAGAAGGCAGAATAGAACTCTGTTCCCTTAATGTGCCTCGGTATCATTTCTTATTAAATGCAGATTTTTATGTAATTGATCTGAAGCTTTGAAATTTTACATTGCTAACAAACTCCCAAGTGATGCCGATACTGTGCTCCCCATCTACGCATGGACAGGCAAGGGAATAAAGGGTGGTTGAGCAAAGGAACACACAAGTTCACCGGGCTTGCCATTCACCACAGTACAGATGGATCTAAAGAAGTTGCTGAGCTTGTTTTTCCCCCAGAAATGTGTATTTGAAGTCTTGGTAAGGTATAAGAAGCCAACAGGCCAAGTGATTGGCTCTAGGTCCTGCCACTAATTGTACCAAAGCAAACCAGAGCCCAGATCACCTAACTCCAAGGCCAGTTCTTTCACACGGGAAGAGAGCGTGTCATGGCACAGTGTCTGGCAAACGTGCTGCTCTCTGTAGACTGTGTGGCTCAAAACTCCCTCTCACCCACTTCCTTTCGCTTCCCTTAAGCCACGTGCAGCAGTGCCCTGCAGGTGCCTGGAGCTTAGGTAAGCTCTGCCCTCATTTAGTCTCATCTCCTTCTGAACAGCAGCCACCCCAGTCACTCGGGAGTAATGTGCACATGGCCGGTGCCTGCTGCCCGTGGCACGGGCTGCGCTCAGATCCTTACTGCTAAATGCCTGGTTTTCAGCTGGGAGCAGTTTTGCCCAGAACAAAATACTGTATCATCTGCTCCAAGATGTCAGTCAGTGCCAAAATGGGGGCCCCTGCTCAAAGTATATGAGTGTTGCAGTGCTGAGTTGTCAAGAGTGATCAATAGCTGTTCCAAAAGAGAGGTAAGGGTTGTGTATTTTCTTGAACTCTGCGTTGCTCGTAGCTGCTGTCCTGGGTTCCTTCCCCGCTTTCCCTTCTGCTCCTCTCCTTTCTGTCCCCGTCCCCGTTGAGGCTCTTTGTCTGGCTGCGCCCTACTCTCCCTCCCTTCGCAGCTGCCTCCTTTTCCCTGTCCACGCCCCCTCCCCACGTCCGGTCTCCCTCTTCTCTGGGGAAGGTCAGCCTTACTGAGAAACCCTGGCGACGCCTAGGGTGTGGCCGTTCCTGCTTGAATCCTGGCTTCCTGCTATCCTAGCTTGGTCCTGACCACGGAGTCACACACAGACAGTGTCTTCGTTTCTAACAGGTAGCAACACTCCACTTCTTAGAGCTTCTAGGGTTCAGTGCGATCTTGTATGCAAAACGCCTGGTGCTCAGTAGGCTCTCTAAACTTTAGCCCTTATTTCTTCCTCATTTCCTTTTCATCTTTTTACCTGGTTCTCTTTTTCCTAATCTCTGCAACTAGCCACATCATAGAACTCTATTTTTAGCACGTGTAATTTTCGGATTCCCAGAATAAGTAGTATCTATTTTTTGAGTAAAGTATTAAGATTTCCTAATCTAAAAAGCCAGATAAGTTAAGTGTTTTATAATTATCTTTAAAAGCCCTATCAATCTAAATTATGTTGTTTTTAACAATGTAGATCGTTGGCTGATTTTTTTACCCCTGTGGATCAATGATGTCTAATAGGAAAAGAACCCTCCTCTGTACACATTTTCCTCAATTCCAGAGAAGTGAGAACGCAAAATTGAGGGCAATCAGCAACACCATGACATCTTTCTCCCCAAGAGGCATAAGCAGAGGCTGCGTCTTCATTTCTGTCTCTTTTCACTTTAAGCCTCAGTCAGACTGTCCTTATTTTTTGTCTTTTTCTCTTATCTTGTAGTAGCAGCTGCCCATCTTGAAAACCCTTGTGAGTTCCTAAGATTTGTTTTATGATTCATTGTGTTTGTGTATGTTTAAGGGAGTTTCACTTGAGCAGAGAAACTGAATTTCCAGTTAACTTGATGCAGAACCCTGATCTAACTTTTTTTTTTTTTTTTTTGCATATCCAGGTTGTTTGTTTTGTTTTGTTTTTCCATCTAACCTCATTGGCAGCTGTGCCTAGTCTTGGCATAGGGTGAGGAAAAGGTTGACCTTTTTTATTACCGTTTTGTTATAGCTGCAATTATAGTTTATCAGAGTTCTAATCAAAAAGGAACACCTGGTGCAAATGTTTTGCACTTCATAGAAAATGAAGGACAGAATTATTAATATGTAAGCATAAGTATTATGCTTAAGAAAATTAAGTAAATTTCCATTTGGGTTTTTTGTTTCTTTATAATAAATGTTTTCTAATCTTTGTGTTCAAGAATTTCCCCATTCCTTTCAATTAATAACAAAAGACTTTTGTTGTTTATCTTCACAATCACAATTGTACTAGAAATGTGTACAGACCATCTACAGAGGCAGGGAGCTTAAGTTTGAGGCCTTGCACACTGAAAATTCCCTCAGTCTGGTTCAGAGTTCCTTATTCGATGGCTTTCAGAGGTAGCAACTTTTAGTAGAAGTTAAATTTTCACACACTAAAAAGGATAATCTTTTTTCTTGGCCTTTTTTGTTGCTGTTTTCTCATAGCAACTACTAAGGAAAGTTGTTTGATTTGACCACTTTGAATAGAGATGCTTACTTGTCATGAGGTAGCATCAGCATGGTGTCCTGCACACAGAAGGCAGTCAATAATGTCACTCAAGATATTTTTAAAAGAAAATAGATCTTAGGAAAATTACAAAACCATATTAATATGTTTAATGAATATCAACGAAAGTGAGTGCAAATTTTGAATATCTGTTTGTTTTATTACTATGTTTTGCAGTATGACTCACTATTTTTAAAATACTGAATACTATTAGTAAAAATGTAAATTTTAGTATTTTTTTGTTTATAATCACTTCAAAAACTAATTAAGCTTTGTCTGATATTCTCATTGATTATTAGTTCAATGTAGGTTAATGGGAAATATGTAAAAATCAATGCTATAACTTTGAATTTAATGATAAATGACAAGTTGTAAATATGACAAAAGATTACAAATTACATAATACATAATGCTATTACATAAAGCTTTATATAGTTAGTAACATTTTATACTATGTTATTTTCATACAATTATGAAAATTGCAACTATATTTAGTGTCCAGTAAGTGAGAAAACATGTCCAGCCTTACTAGAAACAAAAGAAATACAAATTAAAACAATTAATGATTTTTCACCTATAAAATTATCAAAGATTTAAAAGATGAGCGATATGAGTTTAGAGAAATAGGACATAAAATAAGAATGTGCTGAAAGTTCAAAGTATAAATTTGTGTTCAGTCTTTCTGGAGGGAAATCTAGTATCCAACTGTGTGAACGTGGTAAATTTCAGTGTTAAAATTCAAACTCATCTTTAAAATCTCTTAACCACAAAGCCAGTGTTTACCCATGAAGTCAGTTTAGTAGTTTGAAAACAGGATAGGATAGGATGGCATAGGGGATAGGATAGGGGATAGGGTAGGGGATAGGATAGGATAGGATAGAGGAGAGGAGAGGAATTGCTAGAACACATCACACACAGCATGAGTATCATTTTGTGGAACTTAGGTTTATGTGCATTGGTCACATATAAAATATATTTTGTACTGTGATCACGGTCATGATCACTGCACTAGCATAGCCAGCTCAATTATGTCTCAGGGCCTCTGCCTGAAGTCTTCCCCAGACTTCACATCATCAGCTTAACATTGCTTTGTGAAAGATCCCAGCTCTGACTGTTCTATGAAAAGAACCTGCTGCTGCACACTCCTCTGTTTCACTGACCTGTTGTATTCCCTCATAACTTTTCTCACTACAGGGAATTATCTTATTGTTAACATGTTCATTCTGTGCCACTTCCCACTCCTCCCTCGCAGGCACACCCTAAGACAATGGCCATGAGAGTTCAGATGAAATTATTTGGTAAATGCTTCCAAAAATTATTTTGGCATTTCTGAGCTAGTATAGCATTGGTCCCAACTTCTCTCCAAAGACACTGATGGCATAATCTCAGTTGATGTTTTTGCCAAAGCAGTGTGTCTTCTCAGGCAAAATTACAGAAATTGGTCCTGGTAAAAGAGGGAGAAGTTCATGCTCTATATATAAGAGAGACGTACTCTCTTGCCAGAATCAACAGAAGAGAGGCTAGTAGTTAGCTGTGCATTGAGGGCCCTGTGAACCCAATGTCAAGGTTTAGGCAAGGATGGTAGTCATTGATATGCTCTATTCAAAACCACTGCAATCGAAAGAAGGTGAGAAGCTGTCAACTCTAAGATCTGGAAATACTAAATGGTATATATTTGGTCTAAGTTTGCAATTTTGTTTTTGCTTTTCTTGAACATAAGATGGTGAGAAACCCAGATAGTAAATGAAACTCAAAGTAGACAGCAAATGAAACCCAGAGCTACAATAAGGTAAAATTTAGATCTGCCATTTCACTTGTGTCAATGTTAAAGCATGATTTTCAAAGAGAAGAAACTGTGGCTCTCATTAAATGTGAAATATACACATATTAAAAATTTTGTTTACCTCACCATTCATGGGAGAACCCAACACACATTACAGCCAATTCAAAGAAGAAAAATCAAAGAACCAAAATTGTTTATGGGGAAAAGATATGGTGAAATATATTTACAAATGGACATGAAACTGGCTTATTCCACAGCCAGAGAGGAAAGTTGACCTCCACTGTGACAGAATTTATTTTCATGTAGAGAATAATTTTGCATTGCTGCCAGTTATCTGTAATTTACTGACTTGTAAAGTAGCCTAAAGAGCACGAAAGCTGAACAGCTTTCTAGGTAATATACCATTTCCCATGGAGGCACCCAGTCCTGTTTTTTCTTACTCTAAGTCGAGTAATAGAGATGAACAGTTTCTAAAGTTTGCTGCACAGTGCAGACGGTGATGGAGGGCAAGAGCACTAGGTGTCTCCCTTGAGAGTCCTGTGCTGCTGTAAAACCCTACCCGGTCTTCCGCGGTGCTTTTGAGAGCACATATCTCGTGGGAAATGCATGATTTAGATACACGGAAAAAGCAAAGATTTCTTTTTAATGTTCCCTCTGTGAGGTTATATAATGAAAATTAACCTGACATGGAGGACATCCCTGAGAAGAAAATTTTGATGAGAACAAGATCACTGCCCCAAAGATTCCATATTTAACACAGAAGCCTCAACTGCTTGTTCGTGCCATCGCAGCATATTTTCTCCATGTTGAGGAGTCATTGGTTTCAGAGACACTTTTATGATTTTAAATTTTTTGTTCATATCAGTGCACGTTGGAAGGATGTAATGATTACATTCGTTGTGCACATAACACTTCTTAATTCCTTTCCCACCCCCTCCCCTCCCTCTCACTCTCCCCCTCCAGACAATTTTGCCTACAGAGTTTCACAGCATTTTGAACACGTTTACTTTAAGCTTTTAAATTTGAAGAAGGCAATGATGAAATGATTATTTAATTGACAATTAACAATTAGCATGACCTTTCTTGTCAATAAAAGTAATTCTCAATAAAACATTTGAGAATTATATGGACACAAAATTAAATTCTAAATGTTTTTCTTCATTATTGAATTCATTAATTATAATTTATTATTATAATTTATTTGACACTAATGTAATGAAAACAGCATAATGATTCTGCTATTTTCTGGATGATTCTACCATCTTTGGGGTTTAAATAATTACCTTTTATAAACTGAAGTCTTCTGATTCTCTATATTTGCTATTTTAAAACTTCAGTTGATCTGACAGCCTGGCCATATGATGAAAGTATTTTCTTTATATCATTTGGAATAGTAATTCCTTAACAAATGACAATAATCATTGTGTTACAGAAATGCTTCTGTATTTTTTATCCTTTCTAGCTAGCATATACTTTCTTAGTAGCTTTTCATCTGTTCATTCAG